CCGTGGGCGCCGTCCGTTCCCACTTGTGGGCCGCCATGGACGAGGATCTGTTCGGTCTGGCTCTTTTTAAATCTGCCCTGGGCGTTGTTGAACAAAAACTCTGCGCGTTTGACTTGTTCGAAGCGCTTTTAGTTCCCAACGAGAAATGTCAAAGCTTGTCCTAAGGGAAGGCGTGCTTTTCGCTGGTCGTCGGTGCTGGCTGGTCGTGGGGCCTCCGGGCATAATCTGCGCCAGTGTTAGACGGGTGTCAGGGCGGTTGCCGGGTGTTTCAAACTTTGCGTTCTGCGCGCGGAGCGGGAGGAACGGGGGTGGCGGGAACGGGAGAACAGAAGCGCAGACGGCAAAGAAGATAAGGAGCATCCCAAGAGAAGGAAAACCGTTCAAACATTAAGATCCGCAGCGACGGGCCTACAAACGTTTTTTCTGTTGTATATCAAAACGCAGTGCACAACGCAAAATCAGCGCGGCGTTCTGTTTAGCGTTGCTAGTGCGTCAAGAGCCCAAAGTGCAAAACGGTAAAGACGCCCAGGGCGCTTGTAAGCAGAACCAAGCTGTTCGGCGCCGGCGAAGTGCCGTCGTGGGTTGGGGGTGCAGATCCGTTCGAGTATCGAACGAGGTGACGAAGACACTGGAAGGGGGGGCGTGGAGGTCAGCCCAGCCAGAAGGAAACCCAGTGGGCAAGGGCAAGGCAGAGGAAACGCTATTGTCCAAAGTGGCGGTGCTGTCACTGGCTACCGCTCGCCAGCAGGCCACGCGCTCAAGCGTCATCATGTTGACCTGCTTGATTACGCTGGCGTCGGGCCTGGCGATAGGCGCCTTGGCAGCGCACGCGCGCCACAACGATGTGGCTCAAACGTTCAAAAGTAATTAGCAGGAAGGACAAGAGGTCGACGCGTCAGATCCAGGCCCGCCATTTCTCACGGCCTTCTTTTTGCCCACCAATGCCATACTATACGGAGCCCCGAGGAGGCCAAAGCCAAGGCTACGGATTTCTTCAACGAGCGTCTTCAAAGCAATGGCCCAAAGGATGTGGCGTCGTTGGTCAGGACTTCTCCATCCTGGCTCCAAGGGATCCAGGATCAAAGCTGATGGCGGGCAAAAATCGGTTGCGGTTCTCTCTGGGCCCGAACCTTGCGGCGACGTCCCTGACGCAGGTGCTAGATTTGGTGCTGGCGGATTTGAACGCGACGCAGTCGGCAGGATCCGCCCCGATGGGAACCACTCGAGAGGCAGATCAAAAGCATGCTGGAGAAGAGATTTGCGAAGTGGGATCCAATAACAGCGAGACACACGTGAGCAGAGTTCCGGCGCCGTTTGCCCAGAGTGTGCGCCACACAGACTTGGTTGCAAAAGGTTTGGTATCACGGGGTGCTGGAGGTCTAATTATTTTCTGGCTTCCGGGAGCCAGAGACGGGGTAACAGCAGACGGGGTAACAGGAAGCGACCTGTTCGAGGCATCACATGGCCCTTTTTGTTGCAGCGTTCGATGCACATTTCGCGTTCGATGCAGCATCTTCCACATGCTGGTTGCGTTGCACATTTCCGGCTGCTGCACTGCAACTTTTTTGGGGGAACTCCCTATTGCCCGGTCTGTGTGTCTTGTTAGCAGTTTTTCCGCACCTAGTTGCCAACAATGCGTTGCAGAAAAAATGCAGTGCATTTGTTTGCTTTGGTCGTTGCAGTTTTTCCACCTAGATCCCATGGTGGGTCTGTTACCTCGTTTAGGCGTTACCCGGTTTAGTGTTCCCTGATGGCTCTGGCTGAGCATTTTCGGAATGGGGGGGAGTCGGGGTAGTGGTGGTCGGGGGCAGTGGAGGGGGGAAAAAGTGAATAAGTCCTGAGAGAGCTTCTAAATGTCAGGAGAAGGAGGAGGAAGAGGAGGAGGAGGGGGAGGAGGAGGAGGAGGGGGAGGAGGAGGGGGAGGAGGAGCCGAATAGGGCCCGAGACTTTGCAAGTCACGATCTGACGTTCCATGTGTTGGGATTCCCCGACCTAAGTATTTCGTGCTGCACGGAAGGAGGGCAGCGATGGGGCAATTGACGTTGTTGGCCCCAATTGCTCTCGTATCGTGCCGTATCCTCCTCTCCTTTTCTTCTTCTCCTCCCCCGTCTTCCCCCGCCTTGAAGGAGCCCAGAACGGCCCCTCGATTGCCACCGCGGGCCCAAGAGGTACACGACATGTGCACGCTTTTTCACGCCTTGTGCAGCCCCTGAGTTGCCACCGCTGGCCCAAGAGGGACTCGATATGTGCACGCTTGTTCAAGCCACGCTCCGTGCTTCCCCTCCGTTGACGAACGCCCGGCGCGTCCTGTGCAGTTTCTGTAGGCGTTGTCCCGGGGCCTCGCGCAGGCCCGAACGCGGGCCCCCGGTCTCTGCCGCAGCCTACCCAGGAGTGGCCTTCTGCTGAGCCTGCCCCTCGCGGCCAGAAGGGCCGACGACATCCTCTTCTCGGCGGCGAGCCCAGGGGGGGAAGTGAGAGGGGGCGGGCCTGCTCAGAAGGCTCGGAAGTCCCCCGGCCTCCTGAAAAGTTTTCTATAACCGGGGTCGGCCAAGAGGGGAGTGATGACAAGGGGGGGGGGGATTTCATGGCGTGGGCCATGATAATTCCTCAGATTTCATGGCGCCACTTCGTATTTCATTACGTCCCTGCCCCCCCCCCCCCCTGTCCGCGCACGTGCCGCCGGCCATGATTTGCGCCGCCTCCTCTTGGACCCACCCCTCTTGGCCGTCCCCGATATAAGCCTCCCCCGAAGGCGTCGGCACAGAGCAGCGAGCCTCATGCGCAGGGGGCCGATGTCCTCGTGAGATGGCGCTCCGCGAGGAAGCCGCTGCCCGGAATGGGTACCCTCGGAGTGCCGTGTTTGTCGGCAAGGCCTGCTCCTGCTCCCTCCCCCCCGGGCGTGCCGCCGCTGCTGTGTGTCACGCGCAGGCTGCGGGCGGAGCCGCGGCCGGCGGAGCCTCCGGCGCCGCCCTGGCGCGCTCCGGGCGCCATGGAAGGGGGTCCAGCGTTCAGTTTGACTTGTCCCTCTACAAGAGGAATTTTCAAAAGTAGTTAGTCAAAACACAGTACGGGGACGCTTTCTCCCGCTATTTTTGATAATGCTTATTTTTGATATCTTTTCATAATTTTTCAATTTTTCGTCCAAGATCCGTCTGTAGGAGGACGCGCCCGACCGAAGTCCAGCGACGATCCGAGAAATCCGCGCGGACCTCCGATTTTTTATGTTTAGGTCATTGTTCGTTCCCCCGGAGGCGTGCCCTTTCGCCGGCACGCCTCGCGCTGCCTCCGCAGCACTCGGAGGTTGATAGACCTCCTACCCTGACACGTCGATCAGCGAATTGGCCGTCTTCGGTTCCCGAGAGGGCGTCGCGGCCGTCATTTTTGCTGGTCCGGGCCCATCGGTTTCGGTCCTAGGCCGTTTTCACTGAAGGGTGTACTGAAGGGAGGTTTGTCCACCGCCGACGTACAGAGGGGCGCTGCTCTGCACCCCTCGTTGCCTCTGGGCAGCCGAGCCGCAGCGGTCGCGCCGCGATCGCAGGCCGGGTCGGAGCGCCCCGGCGCCCGGAGAGGCGCGGGGTCCCCTTCCGAGCCATGGGAAAAGCACGACGGGCGGTTTTGTCCCTGCCCAGACACGATCGCGTCGTCAAAAAGTCAGGGCAGGAGGTTTTTGACCATTTTCGGCCTCGGGCGGCCTTCGCTGGGCCTCGGGACCGTCACGAAACGACTCGGGACGAAAAGCCGGTCCCGGGGAAAGGGTCTGGCTTTCCAGGGGCCCCGTCCCGGAAAAATCAGGACGTCCCATGTCCGGGTGTGTGACAGGACGCCAGTTCTTCGGCCACGGCGTGGCGGGTCGCAGGCAGTAAGTCTGGAGTATTGCGATGTCGCGTGGTAATCAGTGGCTATCTGTGCTCCTATGCGGCTCGTGCTCAGCATGTTGCTTGCTTGCTCTCAGCCTCTGGAGGCCCTTGTTATCGGGCCTCGGGGCCGTCAGCCAGGGGCTCGCGATGGAAGGGCCAGTCCCAGGGAAGGAGTCCAGGTACCTCTGGGGGTCGCCGCTCTGAAAAATTCATGCCCGCGTGCGCTCCCACGGCGCGCGGGCGGGCGGACCGGCGCGCACGGGGTGCACGGCCGTCGGCGGCCCGCGCGGGTCTGCGGGGGCCAGAGAGCGCTGCCGAAGGCGAGGCCCGCTCGGTGGCGCAGGCGGCCCCTCGAGAACGACCCGCGACGCGGAGTCCGCACCAAGGGGGGGGGGGGTGGCCCGAGGGCCCTCGGCCCCCCACTCTTGAGCAACTCGGGGCCGCCCCGCCCTCGCGCCCTTGCCTCGCTGATGATCGGCGGTGCGCAGCCCCGCGCTGCCGCCTCGCTCTCTCCCCAGGCGGCGCAGGCCACCGGCTTTGATGGAGCGACCCCGCTGTCGACTCGGCGCTGACGCCCCCCAAGAAAGCCTTCGGCTGAGCCCCCGGACGTCCTTCTGGGAGGTCTGCTTACGGGACGGGGCGTGGGGGGTCCCCCCGGCCCACCTCGCGCATCGTGGAGTCGCGGCGCCGTGGGAACAAAGGCACGGCCGGAGGCCGCGGCACCGTCTTTGTGGCGAGATCGACCCGCGAGGCATAGATTTACCACGAGGCCGACCTGCGAGGGCCCCACCCCCACACTCGTTGCCCGCATCGGGGCGAGCAACGCTTCGCGCACGATGAACAAAACACTCCTCCTCCTCCTCCTCCTCCTCCTCCTCCTCCACCTCTCCCTCCTCCTCCTCCTCCACCTCCTCCTCCTTCTCCTCGTCTACCTCGTCCTCCTCCTCCTCCTTCCTCCTCCTCTTCTCCCTACCGTCTCCTCTTCTCTCCTCCTCCTCCTCCTCCTCCTTCCTCCTTCCTCCTTCCTCCTTCCTCCTCCTCCTCCTCCTCCTCCTCCTATTCCTCCCCCTCCCCCTCGAAGGAGGGAGGCCGCGCCGTCTCGATCCGGCCTGGGCCTCGTCTCGCCTCGCGCGCCCCACCGAGGACGCCGGCGACGGCTGGGGCGGCATGGACATCGACCTGCCCGCGGACGCTTCAGCGGAGGCGCCCGGCGCAGAGGCGGCGCCGGCGGTTGCCGAGCTGGCCGAGGAGAAGCCGGCGGCCGAGGTCAAGGACCCAGACACGATCGCGTCCTAACAAAAATCAAGACGGGAGGTTTTTGGCCATTCTCGGCCTCGGGGGGCCCTCGCTGGGCCTCGGGACCGTCAGAAAACGACTCGGAATGAAAGACCAGTCCCGTGGAAAGGGTCGGGACTTCCAGGGACCCCGTGTTGAAAAAATCAGGAGGTCGCACGTCTGTGGAGGATGCCTCGGTGTGTGCTCGGTTCCCGTGCCGCGTCCGTGGCGCGTCCTGAATGTTCGGTTCCCGCTCCGCGTCGGGAGGCCCGTTTCCCCACGCTCATTCGTTTTCTTCCTCTTCTCTGTCTGTCTGTCTGTCTGTCTGTCTGTCTGTCTGTCTGTCTGTCTGTCTGTCTGTCTGTCTGTCTATTTCTCTTTCTCTCTCTCTACATATCTCTCTGTCTCTCTCTCTCTCTCTTCCTGTCACGCTCTCTCCCTTTCTCTCCCTCTCGCTCTCTCTCTCTCTCTGGCCCTTTCTCTCTCTCTCTCTCTCTCTTTTCAGTTTATGTTTTACAAATGCATATATATATACATATATATACACATATACATATATATATATATATATATATATATATATATATGCACGTGTGTGTGTTATTGTTATCTTTCTCTCTCGTTTTATATGCATGCATTGGTCGCTCCCACATAATCGTACATGCGGGCTCCGACTCTTCATGATCAGTCTCCTCTTGTGCTTCCCCCTCCCCCTCATCCTCCGTGCCCTTCGTCTGTTGGAAAAGGAGGGAGGGGAGGAGAGGAAGAGGAAGGGACCGGGCACCTGACAGCAATTGTGTTTTTGTTGGCTTGCCAGATCCTGCCATTGAAAGCATTGTGTTGTCAGATCTTCTGATGCACTGTAATGCCGTGCTTGTGTTACTTTTCAGGTCTATTGAGTTTCCTGCTGATGCTGCGCAGTCTCGGTAGCATCTGCAGCAACTTAGGGAACTAAATCATTACACGCACAGCGTTGTTTCCGAACATCGGAACATTCAGAAACATGTGAAACCTTTCTCTGCATTCAGTTCTGAAAGTTGAAAATACCAATGGTGTTCAGATGCCGCGCCTCTCTGTCTCTCTCTCTCTCTCTTTGTTTTCTCTGTGTCTCTCTATGTCTCGCCCTACCTCTCTTCCTCTGTCTCTCCCTCTCCCTCTCCCTCCCTCTGTTGCCCATGCCTCCCTCTCCTCCCATCACCCTCTGCCTTCCTTGTTTTTCCCGCTGCAGCTGACCTTATGTTTCACATTGTTGTAATTTCCCTTGCGTGTGACAGAACATGTGAATAGCAGTATTTAGTTGCACTCGGGCTTCGCTCGATCAGAGGGGGGGAGGAAGAGGAGGAGAAGATAGAGGTGTTGGAGGAAGAGGAACCCGAGGAAGACGGCCAAGAAGAGGGATCATCATTCGTCGTTTTCCGCATCGTCCCCCTCGCCATCAGCGTAATTGTTCTCGCCCCCACTCCTCGTCCTCCCCCACTCTTCTATCATCTTAATCATCCCTTATCGGTATCCTCATTCTATCTCGTCTATTTTCCGCATCCTCATCTTTCCCCCCCCCTCCTCGTCTGTTCCCCCCCTCATCCGAATCATCCCCCATCCCCCGCTTGGTTCATTCCAGAGCAACTGCGTAGGGAGGATGAGGGTCCTCTTGTCCCTGCCTCAGCGTTCGACGCCGAGTCGTCGGATTGTTTCTAGTTCATGCGATCTCGCTGTCAAATCCCCCATCCACCGCGTCCTCCTCGGCATTCCCTATCCTATGTCCTGTCCTCATCCTGGCGATCCTCGTCACGTTCCTTGTTGTCCTAGGAAGTGTAGAAGGAGCTGTGTTAGAAGCTGTAGCACAAGGTGTAGAAGGGGTTGTGCTAGCCCCTGTGGCTACATCCGAAATATGAGCTGTAGTAGTCGCTGTAGTAAGAACAGTGCTAAGACCTGCGGTAAGATCTCTGATGGGGGCTGTAGTACTGGCTGCAGTGATAATTGCGGTACGACCTGCTACACGAGCTGTAATTGAAGCCAATGAGCTGAGTTTCCCTGACTGCTGTGCCATGGAATTGTTGTAGTAATGTTTGTTTAAGATACGCGGTAGACATTGCAGTAGGAAGCGTCGTGAGACTTGCACTGCTAGCTGCACGAAGCACTGCATGAAGAAATACCGAGCGTGATGCGTTGGCAGCTGCGTTGGTGCCTGCATTACCCGTAAGAAGTGGAAGTTTAGCGTGGGCCTTCGCAGGAACAGCGCTCCACAATGCACTCCTGGCTGTTGTGCAGACTGCAAGCAGATGTGCTATCTGACTTGTAAGAGGATGTGTGCAGTAAGCTGTAGTAGGAGAGGAGCTGTAGCAAGAGTTGTAGTGAGAGCTGCACTGGTGGCTGCGTTAAGGAGCTGACGTTGGAGCTGCAATGCGAAGTGTGCACGGAGGTGCTCGAGGGTTTGTAGTCGGATGTTTGATGAGAGTTGTCGAGGGAGCGGTTGTCACTGGTTGTAGTAGGAGTTGTTTTGCGGCCTTGTGTAGGGGATGTAGTGGGGGGCATTATTCAGAGTTGCAATGGGAGCTAGGTTTTTCGGTGCAATATAGGCTGTAAGGAGAGCTGTGCTACTAGTGGTGGTGTCGGGATGCTTTGGTGTACATTTCATCCATCTGAGCTGTATAGTTTGTACCCGGAGCTGTTCTGAGAGCTGGAATGTTAGCTGTTTAGTAGGAGCTGCATGTGGAGCTGCAGTGGGTGATGCGCGGAGATGTGTAATTCGCATTTGGACAATTGCTTGCCGTGTTGTGTTTAGTCGGGGTTGTCGGACTGCCAGCGTTGAGATCCTGCGTAGGATTCGTATTGGTTGTTGGAGTTGCAACAGCAGTTGCCTTGGGATATGGACTGGGATGTTTCATCAAGATGTAACCGGTGATGTGGCAAGAACTTCGGCAGCACTTGCAATCGTGGTTGTAGTAGGATCATCGATGAGGGGCCGAGCTGGAAGTGTGGTAGGAGAAGTAGTGGAGGCTGGAATGGGTATTGTCGTAGGAGCTGTATGCAGCGGGAGATGTTGCCTGGATTTCAGCAGGAATTGCGATTCATGTCCGAACACAGTATATGACTACCACCACCAAGATCGAGAATAATCTACGGTGCGATGTGGTGCAGTTTTGCTCTGGTGAAAAGCCCCCAGTCCCCCTCCCGCCGCCAGCGGCAACCGGGCTGCCCCCTCTCTCTTAAGGACCGAAACAGAATTCATCAAAGCACGCGCGGTGGTGGTGTATATAATTTTGGTTACCAAGCGGAGCGATTTTTATACACCACCACCAAGACGTGCTGTTTCTGCTTCAAGAACTCCCCATGCCACGGCGCCTGCGAGCTGCGCCGAGACCCTTTTCGCCGTGGCGTCGCAGCGTCGTCTGGCACGACACTGCCCCTATCCCTTTTTTCGGACATTTTCTGTTGCAGGCGGTGGTGGTGTATACAAGTTGGCCTCGCATCATTGTGCGGTGGGGTTTGTAGTAGTCCCGTTGTGAAACAAAGTTCAGTAGGATTTGTAACAACATGTGTGGTACGAGCTGCAGTGGAGGATGCAGGAACTGTGGTATTGGATGGGACATAAGCCGTACCAGGAATTATTATTTTGGCTGTGCGGAAATTGTGCCATCTTCAGTAGAAGGATTCGTGGTAGGAGCTGTCGCGGGAGCTGTGGAGGCGCTGCGCAACTGGCTGTGGTCGTAGATGTAGTATCATATCCTTGAGGCAGCGAGACAGGGTGTTGCAGTCAGAAGTGCCACGAGAACGGTATCACTGGCTTCAGTAGCCTTTGCAGCGAGAGCTGGACGATTGGCGGTGGAAGGGTATTGTAGTAGGAGACCCTGCAGTAGGAGCTGACCCGGGGTCTGGGTTACTTGGCCGCTTCGGCATTGCAGTACAAGTTGCACCCGGAGATGTTTTTGGAAGTTTAATGTTAAACGTCGTGGGAGTTGCGGTGGTAATTTCATTGGAAGTTGTACGAGAGTATTAAATGCAGAGGGAATGATTTCACGATTTGTAGGAGGAGGTGTAGTCGGACCTGTACTGCTGGCAGCATCTGCGAGGTTCGTATGGGCTTCGGTAGAAGCTGTAGTATTGGCAGTAGTAGAAGGTGAGGTCTGGGTTGTAGGGGATGTACTGAAGGCTGTACTGAATTGCCGAGGGAACTTTCATAGGACTTGTAGTGCGAGTTGCGTTGCTGGTTGTGGTGGGATTGCGAGGGAAGCGCAGTGGGAGATGCAGGACAGCTGCAATGGACACAGCAGCAGGACTTGTATCAATAGACTTGGTAGGAGCTGTATTGTGAACTGTAGCGAAGGCTGTCCCATTGGCTGTGCACTGGATTATAGGATGAGCTGCACTGTGAGCTGTACTTGAAGCTCTCCTATTGATTGTAATAGGACCCATATCAAGAGACGGACACAAAGTGAGTGTGACGACGGAAGAAGAGGATAAGTACGAAACACCGAACACAAGGCAGCATGTATCACTACCCAGGGGGGATTCACTTCTGTACATATATCAACACATAGATTTATATATTTCGCCATGGTTTCGCCCCCATGCCGCCGGCCCCGCTCTCTTAGAGTGGGACTTGCCAGAGCTGTATTGGGATGTCTGGACGCTGACGTGAAGCAATGTCGGGACTTCACGCGAGGGCCAAAACGAGCATCAGGTTATTTACAATGGTTTCTGGCTTCGGGAACGTGAATATTGCTTAATTTACGAGGGTGTGTGGCTTCAAGGACGCAACTATTGCATAATATACGAGGATGTATGGCTTCGGGGGCGCACATCTTGTTTACTTGCAAAGGTTTATGGCCTCGGGAACGCGAATATTGTATAACTTGCGAGGGTTTGTGGCCTCGGGGACGCAAGCATGGTGTACTTTAGGAGGGCTTATGGCCCTGGGGATGTGAATATTGTACCATGTTTGAGGGTTTATGGTTCCGTGGGCGCGAACCGTAATTTACATGGGTATCTGGCTCGGTGGTGCGGATATTGTATGATTTACGTGGGTTTATGGTTTTGGGGGACGCGAATATTGGCAATTTACCATTTACGTAGGTTGATGGACTCGGGGACACGGATGTGAGGTAATTTACTTGGGATTGTGGCCTCGTGGACACGAATATGATCTATTTGTATGTGTCCCACGACCCCCCAAGAATTCAGACAACGAGATTCGGGGACGCTAACCAGGACACTTTCCGGCTCCCCTCCACTAACAGCAAGGAAGCAGAAAGCAGGACTGTAACAGTGGAAACTGGAAACTGCAACTGGAACAGGGAGCTGAAATCCTCACCATCGCAGCCTGGTGGCCCCGCAAGGGGGCCGGCGGATATACTGATATGTACACATGTCTCTCGTTGTTGTTCCGCCACCTGTCTCTCTCTCTCTCTCTTTTCCGTTTTCTTTCTCTTTAAATGTTACATCGGTCACATTCTCTCTCCCGCACGTGGTAACTCTCCCTTTTCTGTTTTGATGTGATAATTGGGAGAGACGCAATGCCAAGTGGTTCAAACGTGATCGATGTGCTGCCACTTTCAGTGTAATGACTCGCTGGCCCCAGATTGGTGCAGTTCTCGCCTCCCGCGCGGACAGAGGACGCCGACGGCGGCTCGGGCGGGATGGACATCGACCTGCCCGCTGACGCTCCAGCGGAGTCCCGCAGCGCCGGGGGGGCGCCGGCGTCGGCCCAGCCTGCCGAGGAAGCACCAGCTGCTGAGCTCAAGGACCTTGACTGGGTTGGGGTCATGGTGATGGGATTTGGTGTTTGGGTGTGGGAGCTTGCGTGAGGCCCCTGTCAAGAAATAGTGTTTTGTTCGTTCTTCTTGACATGCGGGTATACAATGTAAATGTGTACATATATATATATATGGAGCAGAGTGAGGGGGCCGAACTCATTCATTGTCCCTGGGTGCGTGGCTAAAGTGAGAATCCGTGGTGCGGGTTCTGCCTGTTGTTGTTGTTGTTGTTGTTAGTGTTGTTGTTGTTGTTGTTGTTGTTGTTGTTGTTGTTGTTGTTGTTGTTGTTGTTGTTGTTGAACATTATTTCTTCTTAAGAATAATTATTGTTGGGACCCCTGGTGCGCGACCCCCCCGCCGCGCCTAGGCCGCAGCCTCATTTTCATCATTTTCGTGAGGAAGTCTCAGGCAAAACGGGTTGGTCCGGATCCGGTTGTGTTGTTACGATCGGTTTTCCCTTGCAAAAAATAAGCTAAAGTGGACATTTCTTGTTCTAACATAACCAAACTTCAAGAATCCCTTGCAAAAAATAAGGTAAAGTGGACATTCGCGCGCGCAAGACGAAATCCTTCCAAAACCTTAGTTTTCGTAGCGATTTTAACATAAAAACATCAAAAAACCAATGGTTTTTCAAACAAAAAATTGTCAAAATTTCATCCCGCGCGCTCTTGCGGATTCGTAGGAAACCCAACACTTTTTAATCATTTCTGTCAAACGGGCTTTTGCGAGCAACTTTTTCGAACTTCTGCAACAACGGTTGCGCACCTGCCAGGGCCATCATCCCTGTCAAATAATACCATGCGGGACACATTCGTTTTTTCTTCGCGCGCGCACGCCGTCGTCGTCGGCCGCGGGGCCCTGAATAGTAGCCACGGTCGTCCGCATGCCACGAAGTGAAGTGTCCGAACGTCATAGGGCGGGAAGCTGGGTGTGGGTGGTGGCGAAGAGTCGTTTGGAAATTTGGTAGAGCTTGAACCGGCCCCCCCACAAAGTGGGGGTATTGCCCGCCTCCTATGAAAACCCTGGCACTGGTGAGAACGGAGTGTCCCCACGTGCTAGTAATTGTTGTTGTTGAACATTATTTATTCTAAAGAATAATTATTGTTGGGCCCCCTGGTGCGCGCCCCCCCTGCGCCGCCTAGGCCGCAGCTACATTTTCATCATTTTCGTGAGGAAGCCTCAGAAAAGAGGGTGTGTACAGGATCCGGTTGTTTTGTTGTAATCCGCTTTCCCTTGCAAAAAACAATAGAAAATGACATTTCTTGTTCTAATATAATCAAATTTCAAGAATCCCTTGCAAAAAATAAGGTAAAGTGGACATTCGCGCGCGCAAGACGAAATCCTTCCAAAACCTTAGTGTTCGCAGCGATTTTAACATAAAAACATCAAAAAACCAATGGTTTTTCAACAAAAAATTGTCAAAATCTCATCCCGCGCGCTCTTGCGGATTCGTAGGAAACCCAACACTTTTTAAACATTTCTGTCAAACGGGCTTTTGCGAGCAACTTTTTCGAACTTCTGCGACAACGGTTGCGCACCTGCCAGGGCCATCATCCCTGTCAAATAATACCATGCGGGACACATTCGTTTTTTCTTCGCGCGCGCACGCCGTCGTCGTCGGCCGCGGGGCCCTGAATAGTAGCCACGGTCGTCCGCATGCCACGAAGTGAAGTGTCCGAACGTCATAGGGCGGGAAGCTGGGTGTGGGTGGTGGCGAAGAGTCGTTTGGAAATTTGGTAGAGCTTGAACCGGCCCCCCCACAAAGTGGGGGTATTGCCCGCCTCCTATGAAAACCCTGGCACTGGTGAGAACGGAGTGTCCCCAGTCTTAAATGATTGTTGTTGTTGTTGTTGTTGTTGTTGTTGTTGTTGTTGTTGTTGTTGTTCGTTGCAACCATCGTGCTGGCCCCGATTTTTGTTGAGACCTTGTTTTTCTTGGAAAATGAAGGCATGAGAAGGAGCTGGTGAAGCTTAGCCCCCCCCCGGGGGCCGGGAGGGGCGTATGCGCACTGGGGTGGGAAGGGCGTTGGCACACAGGGAGTGCGACCAAGAACCTGAGAGGATTCCGAGGGTTGGTCGGATTTTCGCTCCCGACCAGGCCACCGGGGCAGGGACGGTCGTTGGCACACGGGGAGTGCGACCACCAATCCGAGGGAATCGTCAGATTCCTCAAGGGATCGTAGGATTCCCTCGTGAATCCCAGGATTCCGTAGGGAATCATAGGACTCCCTAGGGGATTCCTAGCGAATCCTTAGGGGCCCCCAGGAAAACCTTAGGGATCCCTAAGGAGCCTTGGAAATTTCTGAAGAATCCTTACGGGCTTCTGAATAATTCCACGCGGATGCTAGGACTCCTTGAGGATCGGCAGGGCGTCCGTCGGAATCATTTGGCAATATTGAGAATATTTTGGGGATCTTAGGAATCCTTAGGGAATCCTTGATTAATCACAAGGGAGTCATTAGGGCTCCCTCGGGATTCCTTACGAGTCCCTAGGAAATCTTCGGGATCCTGAGGAAATCCTTCGGGAATCTTAGGGATCCCGGAAGAATCCATAGAGGTCACTTGGGAGTGAATCGTTCCTTAGGGATCCGTAGGGAATCCTTGGTAATCCATAGGAATCATCGGGAATCTCAGAAAACACTGGTGAATCCTTAGGGAACCCTTGAGGGTCTTTAGGAACCAATAGGGGAATCCGTGAGAATCCATTGGGGATCCGTCGAAATCCTTAGGGAATGTTGAGAATCCCTAGGGAATCCTTAGGAGCTTTTAGGGAGGCGTCACAGAACCCTCGGAAACTGTTCGGTTGTTCAAAGACTGTGGTCGATGACCATGATCACGACGATTGGTTTGTTGATGATCACCACGACGACGATGGAAACGATAATGAAGATGGTGAGGGTGATGGGGATGAGGACGAGGGTGATGATCGCGATGATGGGCTGATGACGACTTCACACGGGGCTCCACCGAAAGCCTCGGGTCCAACGCTGCACAAGGGGATCCACCGAAGGCTCCGGGGCGATTTCGGAACACCCTTCACACGTTTCGCGGCCCCAGAAAAAGGGGCTCCACCGAATGCCTCGGGCCAATGTCTGCACAACCCAAAAAGGCTCCACCGAGGGCCGAGGGCCGATCGGTGCACCACTAACACGTTTCGTGGCCCCACATGGGGGCTCCACAGAAGGCTTCGAATCGATTTCGGCGCACCCCTCACACGTTTCGTGGCCCCACACGGGGCTCCATTGAGGGCTTCGGGTCCATTTCTCCACAACCATCACACGCTTCGTGGCCCCACAAGGGGCTCCACCGAACGCTTCGGGGCGATTCCGGAGCACCCCTCACACGTTTCGTGGCCCCACATGGGGCTCCACCGAAGGCTTCGGGCTTATGTTTGCACAACCCGAAATGGTTCCACCGAGGGCCGGGAGCCGATTCCGGTCCACCACTCAAGCGTTTCGTGGCCCCACAAGGAGCTCGCCTCGGGTCCATGCCTTCGCACCGCTCACACGTTTCGTGGCCCCACAAGGGATTCCACCGACGACCCATCACACGTTTCGTGGCCCCACATGTGGCTCCACCGAAGGCATCGGGCTCTGTTCTGAACAACTTTCGCGCCCTGCGTGGTGCCACAAAGGGTTCCACCGAGAGCCGAGGGTAGATTTCGGTGCACCTCTCAGGCGCTTCGGGCCTTCACAGGCGCCGCAGGTCCCACAGGTCCCACTGCTGAGGCCCTCAGCCGTTTCGACTCAAACGAATGAGGTTTTCTTCCATGTATCCATATTCTCGCCACGCGTGTGCTCCTCCTCGCTCCCGAGGAGTCGAGCACCGCGTCGATGTCCATTATTGCGGGGTCGAGCAATGCCACGGTGTCCATCCACCACCGCTGATTCGAGCAGTACCGCGGTGGTTACCACGACGGAATTGAACACTAACACGGAATCCACCACAGCAGATTCGAGCAATTCCATTACGGAGTTGAGCAGTACCACGGTGTCCAGGACGACGGAGTTGAGCATTACCACGGCGTCCGCGACGGAGTTGAGCACTACCACGGCGACTCTACGGGCAGTACTTCGGCGTCCAGGACAACGGAATTGAGCAGTGCGACAGTGTCCACCACGACGGAGTTGAGCACTACCACGGCGCCCGCCACCGCGGAGTTGACCACTGCCACGGTGTCCACCACGACGGCGTCCCTCCTTCTCCTCCTCCTCCTCCTCCTCCTCCTCCTCCTCGTCCTCCCCCTCGTCCTCCTCCTCCCCCTGCTCCTCTTCCTGCTCCTCCTCCTCCTCCTCCTCCTCCTCCTCCTCCTCCTCCTCCTCCTCCTCCTCCTCCTCCTCCTCCTCCTCCTCCTCCCAACCTGTCCTCCTATCCATCCCTCCCCTTATCCACCTTGCCTCCTCCTCTTATCCACCTTGCCTCCTATCCACCGGCAACCCCCGTCCTCCTCCTCCTCCCCCCCCCCCCCGTCCGCCCTCCCTCCCACCATCATTCCCGTCCCCCCCTCCTCCTCCTCTCCTTCCTCCTCCTCCTCCTCCTCCTCCTCCTCCTCCTCCTCCTCTTCTCCTCCTCCTCCTCCTCCTCCCCCTCCTCCTCCTCCTCCTCTTCGCCCTCCTCCTCCCCTCCCTCATCCTCCTCCTTCGGCGTCCAGCCTCGCGGAGTTGAGCAGTGCCACGGCGCCCACCACTGCGACGCTGAGCAGTGCCACGGCGTCCAGGACGACGGAGTTGAGCACGACCGCGGTGGTTCCACGGCGCTCGCCACTACGATGTTGAGCAGTGCCACGGCGCCCACAACTACGACGTTGAGCAGTGCCACGGCGCCCGCCACTACGACGTTGAGCAGCGCCGCGGCGCCCGCCGCTACGACGCCGATCAGCGCCGCGGCGGAGTTGAGCGCTGCGACGGTGTGCACCACTACGGGTTCTAGCAGTGCCACGGTGTCCAGGGCGACGGAGTTGAAGCACTACCGCGGCGAGGAGGAGGGGGGGAGGGGGAGGAGGGGGGGGGGGGGGATGAGGAGGAGGGGGGGGGGGGGGGGGGGAAAGGGGGGAGGGGCAGGGAGGAGGGATGGGGCAGGGGGAGGGGGGGGGGATGAGGAGGAGGAGAGAGGAGGAGGAGGAAGGAGGAGGAGGAGAGGAGGAGGAGGAGGAGGAGGAGGAAGGGGAGGAGGAGGTTGAAAAACAAATGGAGGAGGGGAGACATAATATCATGACGAGGAAGGTCGGCTTCATCGAGCCCTGTCGAGGGCCTCGCGGGGGCCTTTTGAGAGCCTCTTGGGGGCCTCATGGGGACCTCCTGGGGCCTCTTTGGGGCCTTTTGGGGCCTCTTGGGCCGTCCGAGGGGGCTCTCAGCCCGCGTGGCGCCTTCGGGGGCCATCTTGGGGGCCTGCTGGGGCCATGTTGGTTCCCTTTTGGGACGTTTTTGGTCCGTCTCGGGAGCGTCTTGGGCGATCTTGGGGTCTTATTGTGCCGACTTGAGGCCCTCTTGGGGGCGTCTTCGGCTGCCTTGGAGCTAGCTTGGAGGCATCTTGGGCCGTCTAGGGCGGTCGGGGGCCCGAGCAGGCGAGAAGTTCGACATCCTTCCAAAACCAAAGGGAAACCACTGATTTGGGCATCCTCGGGCTACTTTGGTGGGGCTCTCGGGGCCGTCTTGGGGGCCTCTTGGGCCGTCTCGGGGGCCTGTTGGGCGATATTGGGGTTTTCTTGCGCCGACTTGGGGCTCTCTTGGGGGCGTTTTCGGCTGTCTTGGAGCTACCACGGAGGCTTTTTGGGCCGTCTAGGGCGGTCGGGGACCCAAGCAGGCGAGAAGCTCGACATCCTTCAACAACCAATTGGAAACCGCTGCTTTGGGCCTCCTCGGGCTCCTTTGGTGGGGCGATTGGAGCCTTCGGGGGTCGTCTTGGGGGCCTCTTGGGCCGTCTCGGGGCCGTATTGGGAGAGTATTGCGCCGCCTTTGGCCATCTTGGGCCGTGTTGGTGTCGTCTCGGTTGGCTTGGGAGCCCTCGTGGAGGCCATCTTGGCCGCTTGGAGGCAGAACGAAACGCCGAGGCGCAATTCCAGGGGGGGCAGTTTTCAAGGGGCGCTGCGCGCGGTCCGGATGGCGGGTCGGCCCTAGAAGCCATATATATTATATATATATATATATATATATATATATATATATATGTACGGTAAATTATATATATATATATATATATATATATATAAGCAAAACAAACAACAGCCAATGACAACGCCCGGAGGGACCAAGGGGCAGAGGGGCATTCTAACGCGCCGTTGCCGTGAAGGCCGGCGGCGGAATCCCGCCTCTTATCCCCGCTTCCTCCCTCCCTCCCTACCTCCCTCTCCTCCTCCTTCTCCTCCTTCTCCTCCTCCTCCGTGTCGTCGTCCTCCCCCCTTCTTCCTTTCAGTGTGGTTTCCTACCCATCCCTCCTCTCAGCCCTCCCTCGTATCCATCCCTCCTCGTAGCCATCCCTCCTTCTACCCATCCCTCCTCCTACCCATCCCCGCCTCTTATCCCCGCATCCTCCCTCTCTCCTCCCTCCCTCCCTCTCCTCCTCCTCCTCCGCCTCATCCCTCCTCCCTCCTCTATCCTTTTTTTTTTCATCCTCCGCGCCCGTCCTTACCGTACTCACGTCCTCCTCCTCCTCCTCCGCCTCCGCCTGCTCCAACCCTCCCTCCTTCCTTCCTCCCTCCCTCCCCCCTCCCCTCCCTCCCTCCCCGTCCTCATCCTCCTCCCCCTCCCCCTCCTCCTCCTCCTCCTCCTCCTCCTTCTCCCCCTCCTCCCCCTCCTCCTCCTCCGCCTCCTCCTCCTTCGGCGTCCAGCCCCACGGAGTTAAGCAGTGCCGCTGCGCCCACCACTACGACGCTGAGCAGGGCCACGGTGTCCAGGACGACGGAGTTGAGCACGACCACGGTGTCCACCACGGCGGAGTTGAGCACTACGACGGCGTCCACCACTACATGTTCGACCAGTGCCACGGTGGCCAGGACGACGGAAGTAAGCACTACCACGGCGACCGCCACTACATATTCGAGCAGCGCCTCAGGGCCCGGGGCGAAGGAATTGAGCACTACGAGGGTGTCCTTCCGCATCCTCCTTTTCATCCCTGTCGTCGCCTTCCCGTTCCTCCTCCTCCTCCCAGTATGTTATCCGAACCATCCCTCCTTTCATCCCTCCCTCGTATCCATCCCTCCTCGTATCCATCCCTCCTCCTGCCCATGCCTCCTCCTGCCCATCCCGCCTCTCATCCCCGCCTCCTCCCTCCCTCCCTCCCTCCCTCCCTCTCCTCCTCCTTCCGTTCCTTCCTCCTCCCCCTCCCTCCTCCCCTCCTCCTCCCCCTCCTCCTCTTTTTCCTCCTCCTCCTCCTCCTCTCCCCCCCCCCCCCTCCCCCTCTCCGCATCTTTTCTTTTCCTCATCCTCGCGCCCCTCCTTGCCCTCCTCATGTCCTCCTCCTCCTCCTCCTCCTCTTCCTCCTCCTCCGCCTCCTCCTCGTCTCCCTCCCCCTCCTCCTCCCCCTCCTCCTCCCCCTCATCCTCCTCTTCCTTCGGTGTCCAGCCTCGCGGACTTGAGCATTGCCACGGCGCCCGCCACTACGACGCTGCGCAGTGCCACGGTGTCCAGGACGACGGGGTTGAGCACGACCACGGCGTGCGCCACTGCGACGTTGAGCACTGCCACGGCCTTCGCCACTGCGACGTTGAGCAGTGCCACGGCGCCCACCACTACGACGTTGAGCGGTGCCACGGTGTCCAGGACGACGGAGTTGAGCACTGCCACGGCGTCCGTGAAGGCACGGCGGCGGATCCCGCCTCCTACCCCCGCCTCCCTCCTCCTCCTCCTCCTCTTCCTCCCGCCTCCTTCCTCCCTCCTCCATTCTTCCTCTTTCTCATCCTCGCGCCCTCCCTTGCCCTCCTGATGTCCGCGTCCTCTTCCTCCTCCTCTTCCTCCTCCTCCCCCCCCTCCCCCCCCTCCTCCATCCTCTTCCTCATCCTCGCGCCTTTCCTCGCCCTCCTCATCTCCTCCTCCTCCTCCCTCCCTCCCTCCCTCGTCCTCCTCCTCCTCCTCCTCCCCCGTCCCCCCCCCTCCTTCTCCTCCTCCTCTCCTCCTCTCATCGTTTCCTCCTCCTCCTCCTCCTCCTCCCCCCCCTCCTCTTCCCCCCCCTCCTCCTCCTCCTCCTCCTCCTCCTCCTCCTCCTCCTCCTCCTCCTCCTCCTCCCCCATCCCCCTCCCCCTCCTCCTTCGGCATCCGTCTTCGCGGAGTTGGGCAGCACCACGGCGTCCACCACTACGGAGTTGAGCAGTGCCACGGCGTCTCCGGCGACGGAGTTGATCACTACCGCGGTGACCACCACTACGGACTCGAGCAGCGCCACGGTGCCCAGGACGAGCACCACGGCGACGCTGACTACAACGAGAGGGACCAGCAGCACGCCGAGCACAAATTCGTTGAACAGCTCGATGGGCAGTGCCCTCACGGCGTCAACCAGCGCGATTGGGGGCAGCATTGCGGAGAGCACCATCGCGACTTTGAGCAGCACCACGGAGAGCACCACCACCTTCATCCTTTATCCCTCCTCGCTCCTCCTCCTCCTCCTCCTCCCCCTCCGCCTCCTCCCTGCTGCATCCCTCCCCCTCTCCCCCCTATCCTCCGTTTTCTTCTCTTTTCCTTCTTCAGGGCGAGACGGCGCCAGAGAAGTCGACCGCGCGAACGACCGTCGGCGGCAACGGGCGCCGCCGCTGCGGCGATTGCGGACGTCGTTGGGGGGGCGTGGAAATCCAGGATTCCCGAAAACGTCGCAGGAGGGACAAATCCACAGACGTGACTGGGTTTGGGCGACGGTGCAGCAGAAACGAGATCATACATTGCCCCGTGCAAAATATTATGCGTATCAGACTGCGGGAGGGTATCCACCTGCCTGCGGCAGCTCCGCCAGCGCCAGTGCCATGGGAGCATTTGGAACCCGTTGGGTCTTATGAGCCCTGCCAGTCAGCAAAGGGCATCCCGCCGCGCTTGACGCCGCGATAAGGGCGCGGTGGCGGATATGCCGACTGACCGCACCATGGATCAACCCACGCGAGGCATGAGGCGAGGGGCGTCACCCTCGCCGAGCTTCGGGCGCACGCCGCGCGCCTCACCCCTCAGAGGGCCGCGGCGGCAGGAGAGGGCGCCTGGCGAATGCCAGCGGGCGAACACAAGGGGCGACGTTGCCCGAAGTTCGAGATATTGACCCGTCCTACATCACGTGGATGGTGACAAACTGCCTGCGCATCAAGTGGACAGGAGCGGCGGGCGCATTGAGGTCCCATGACCTTCTTCCGGTCGGCGCTGCTACGTCTCTGCCGCCGTGGCTCGCTGCCCCGCCGACGGCGACGGGGGCCAAGGCGAGGCGCCAGCGCTCTCGCGACCTCTGCGTGCCCGAGATGGCCCGCGTCGATTGGTGCGGACAGGTGGTGCAACGGAGCCGCAGCAGCGTGCAATTGCCCGTGAAAGCTCGGTTGCGGATGAGCCCTCCCGAGCAGGCGCAGCGTTTGCGCGAGGGCGGTCTCCTGGGCGACATGAAGGGCGCGCGCTGCCAGCAGCGCAGCGAGGACGTCCAGCGCGGGGCGCGGGCCCGCAAACGCTTCGCCAAGGAAGCCGTCTACGGGCCCCCGACCATGAAGGGCGACAAAAATGGGGCAGCTCTGCCAGGGGGGCGCGGCTCCTTTGAAAAGGGCCACGGCGTGCTACAAGCGCGGGCGCCGCCGCCGGGCAGCGCCCGCCACGTTGGGCAGCCCGGTCTTCTCTGCCGCGAGAAAGGGCAGTTCCCCAGCTTTGCACGTTGCAATCCGCGGCGACGTGGCCCGCGGCTTGGTGCGCCGCGGAGGGGCGGCGAGACGTCGACGTGGCCCGCGGCTTGGGCGCGAGCGAGAAGACGGCGACCCGCCGCGTGAATTTCGCGAGGTTCATCATGGGCGAATCGGCTCAGGAGGAACAGAAGTCCGCGCGCTTCGGGGGCAGGGCCGATGGGCGAACCACTCTGATTGCGGCGGACGAAGCCGCCATCGCCCGCTACAATGTCGAGGAGGACGGTATGCGTGTCTGGCACTGGTGCGTGGCCGTCGGCGCCATCGCCAGAGGCTCGTTGGCGCCGAGTCGGGGGCGGGGCACGATGGGCGGCGCGCCCCCCTTCAGGTGCGCAATGGCGCTGGGCCGATTCCATCGCCAATATAGAGTTGGAGGCCAGGTTTTCTACTTTCGGAACGCGTCCTCCTTCTCAGCGCCCCTCTTTGGGCCCTCTTGGGGCCGCCCAGGGCGCCCGTAATAATGCGCTGCCGCTACTGCCACTACAACAACAACAACTACTACTACTACTACTACTACTACTATGACTACTACTACGACTACTATTACTACTACTACTACTACTACTACTACTACTACTACTACTACTACTACTACTGCTACTACTGCTACTACTACTACTACTACTACTGCTACTGTTACTACTGCTGATACGACTAATATACTAACACTAGTACCACTACCACTACCACCACCACTACCACTACCACTACCACTACCACGACAACTATTACTACTACCACTACTACGACTCCTACTACTACTACTACTACTACTACTCCTACTACTACTACTACTACTACTACGACTACTACCACTACTACTACTTCTACGACGACGACTACTACTACTACTACGGCTACTGCTCCTACTACTACCACGATTGCCATTACCACCACTACTACTACTACTACTACTACTACTACTACTAGTACTACTACTACTACTACTACTACGACTACTACTACTACTACTACTACTACTACTACTACTACGACTACTAATACTGATAGTACGACTACTACAAGTCGTACGACTACAACTACTACTCATACAGCAACCACAACAACAACTATTACTACTACTGATACTGCTACTGCTACAACCACCTACTACTAGTACTACTACTACTACTACTACTACTACTACTACTACCACTACGACTTCTTCTACTACTACAGCTACGGGAGCCCGCCACCCATTGCGTTCAGCCTCTCGGCCTCGGCTCGCGCCAGGAGGCCCCTTCCCAGGCATGCATCGATTTCGTCAAAGAACTGGGGAGGTCGGCGGACGATCCTAGGCTTCCCAAGCTCAAAAACGAGATCTGGAGCGCATCGCGGACAAGATCTTTCCCGCGGGCAGCAACATGGTGTCGATGTCGGATTCGGCGTCCTGCTACAAAGAAGTGGAGTGCGCTGGCGTTGTGGACAAGCGCGTAGTAGTAGTAGTAGTAGTAGTAGTAGTAGTAGTAGTAGTAGTAGTAGTAGTGGTAGTAGTAGTAGTAGAAGTAGAAGTAGAAGTAGTAGTAGTAGTGGTAGTCGTAGTAGTAGTAGTAGTAGTAGTAGTAGTAGTAGTAGTAGTAGTAGTAATAGTAGTAGTAGTAGTAGTAGTAGTAGTAGTGGTGGTGGTGGTAGTAGTAGTAGTAGTAGTAGTAGTAGTAGTAGTAGTGGTAGTAGCAGTAGTAGTAGTAGTAGTAGTAGTAGTAGTAGTAGTGGTAGTGGTAGTGGTGGTGGTGGTGGTAGTAGTAGTAGGGATCCCTTCGCATCCCTTCAGGCTTCCAGAGGATTCCCCCGGGATTCGTCAGGATGTCCTAAGGAATTCCTAGCGCTTCCTAAAGGATCCCGTAGTGATTTCCAAAGGATGTCTTAAGGATTCCTGAAGGATTCCTTCGGATTCCTTAGGGATTGCTGAGCGATTCTTAGGATTCCGAAGGGACTCCTGAGGATTGCCAAGGGACTCCTTTGGATTCCAACGTGGGTCTCTCGGATCCTATGGGATTTTCAAAGGATTCCAAATTATTTTCAAAGGGTTCTAAGGATCTCCCAGATGTCCTAGGAATTCCTACGGATTCTCAAAGGATTCTTTCGGATTCCTTAGAATTCCCAATTGATACCTAAATATTCCTTCAGGATTCCAAAAAAATCCCCAGGGATCCCAAAGGAGTCCTCAGGAATTCCTAAGGACTCCTCAAGGATTGTTAAGGATTCCCTCAGGTTTCTTAGGATTTCCCACAGATTCTTGAAGAGTTTTAACAATTCCCGAAGGATTCTTCCGGGATCTTAAGGATTCCCGAAGGATTCTTAAGGAACCCCGAAGGATTCTTAAGGATCCCCGAAGGATTCTTTCAGGACTCCCAAGGGATTCCAAAGGATTTCCTCGGGATTCCTGAGGGAATCTTCAGGATTCCCTACGGATTCCTGAGGGAATCCTAGGGATGCCCTGAGGATACCTTAGGGAATCCTTAGGGAATCATCAGGATTCCCGAAAGATTCCAAAGGATTCCCCAGGGATCCCCAAGGATTCTGAATGGCGCCCAAGGGATTCTTAAGAATTCTTCTGAGGTTCCGAAGGATTTCCTCGGTATTCCGAAGGATTCCTTAGGGGTTCCGAAGGACTCCTTAGGACTTCCGAAGGATTCCGTAGAGATTCCAAAGGGATTCTCCAGGGATTCCTCAGGCATTGCTCAGCGTTTGCCGGGGCCGGGAGAGGCGTTGGCACGCCAGGGCACGCCGCCGCCGTGCTGCAAGGTCGCACCTGCCGGGGCCGGGGGAGTCGTTGGCACACGAGGCGCGCGAACGTTTGCACCATTTGGAGCGACCCGGGTCTGGGGGAGTCGGTGGCGCACCGAGAGAGCGCGAACGCTTCCACCCGGGGCCGGGTGAGAGAGGGCACGCCTCGGTGTGCGTACGACCGTCCCGGCCCCGGCCCGGGGCCGGGACGGTGGTTGCAAGGTTGTTGTTGTTGTTGTTGTTCCCCATATCCTAAGATGGGATTGTTGTTATTATTTGGACGCCTCCTACTCCTCCCCCTCCTCCTTCCCCTTCTCGTCCCTTCCTCTTCCCGTCTCCTCATACGAGACTTATTCATGTCCAGACTCTGATACCTACTCATATTCAGACTTACGCATACCCAGACGTACAAATACACAAACTTACTCATACACAGACTTTCTCATATTCAGGAGGGTCTTGGGCGGGGAGCTGGTCTCAGCACCCGTAAGGGGAGCCGCCAGGGGTGTTTGCACGGCCCGTTCGCGGCCAGTTCGTGAGGATGTCTAAGTCTGTTTGTTTGTTTTCATGCCCGACATCCTTGGTTTTCATATCAGATTCTGAGGATGCCTCAGGCGGGGCGCTGGTTCCAGCACCCCTTCGGGGAGCCGCCAGGGGTGGTTGCACGGGCCCGTTCGCGGCCAGTTTGCGGGGATGTCTCAGGCGGTTTGTTCGTTGTCATGCCCAACATCCTTGGCTTTTCAGAGCAGATTCTGAGGATGTCTCAGGCGGGGCGCTGGTTTCAGCACCCGTAATGGGTCCGCCAGGGGTGGTTACACGGGCCCTTTCGTTGCCAGTTTGTGGGGATGTCTCAGGCGGTTTGCTTGTTTTCATGCCCAACAGCCTTGGCTGTCAGAGCAGATTTTGAGGATGTCTCAGGCGGGGCGTTGGTTCCAGCACCCCTACGGGGACCCGCCATACGCGTGACCCATATTCATTCATTCGCATTCGGATTCGGTCGTCTTCGTTGGCCCTGTCGCCCACGTGGACGCGCTATTATAGTCAAGCGCCCATGAACAAACGCCCATGAGATGCACACATGGGGAGCTCCACGCAGTGAGTAGTTGTTGTTGTTGTTGCTTGTTGTCGTCGTTCCACCCGCGGCCCACCCGCGGCCCACCCGCGACCCACCCCGCGACCCACCCGCGACCCACCCATCGACCCACCCGCGACCCACCCGCGACCCACTCCGCTATCCACCCGCGACCCACCCGCGACCCACCCGCAACCCACCCGCGACCCACCCGCGACCCACCCGCGACCCACCCGCGACCTGGCCCGCGGCCCACCGTCGGCCCACGTGCGACCCAACCCGTGGCCCCCCCACATTGTTTAAAAAAATCGGCGCCTGCGGGTGGCTCCTTTCACGGCTTGAAATTCTGCGCCTGCGCTGTTTTTTTTTCCCGTGAGCCTCGCAGACTGTCGACGTACCTGCCGCCCCCATCACTCTTATCCGCAACCGCGGGGTGCTACCGCACTTCTTAATCCATAAACAGTGAGGAAAGAGTTCCTGCTGAAGAGCACTTATGCAATCATCGTTACGATAATCTTTAAGAGGACGCCGACGGCGGTTGGGGCGGCATGGACATCGACCTGCCTACTGACGCTCGAGCGGAGACTCCCAGCGCAGAGGCGGCGCCTGCGGCCGAAACGCCGGCAGAACAAGATGCGGCTGCTGGGGACAAGGACTTGGAGGGGGAATCCAGGCCTCCTGCCCCCGTCCTCCTTTCTCCCTCCTCCTCCACCTCCTCCTCCTCCTCCTCCTCCTCCTCCTCCTCCTCCTCCTCTCTCCCTCTCTCCCTCCCTCCCTCCCTCCCTCCCTCCCTTCTCCTCCTCCTCCTCCCACACGATATTCGAGTAGATGTGGCCGTCGCGCCGCCTCGCCGATGCATCGCTGGTGCGGCTCGATGTGGAGCCCGATCTTCGCCACGCCGACGGTGCCGATGCATCGCCGACGTCGCCGATGCATCGCCGATGCATCAGGGATGCGTCGGTGATGCGTCGCGATCGTGCGACCCCGTCATCTGCTCGGACCCTATTTTGGAGGTCTCTAGGCTCTAGGTGGGTGATGGCAATGGCCAGCACAGAGCAGGGACGATCTGCGATCATGGCGTCGTCACAGGTTGGTACCTGGAGCGTTCTTCGTGTCGTGTGTGCCATCTGTGGGGAGCTGTGCGCGAGTGTCTGCGGGCCTTGCGTGGCTTTATTTTGGACGAAACGGTGCCCACTTGCTGCTGATGTTGTTCTGCGTGAGTGGCTGGAACGGGTGTCCCGGTCATGCGGTGTTCCAAGGAGTTTTTCGTGATCCGTTCCATTATTCGGAGATCGCCAATGTTCTTCGATAGTGCCAGGGCAATCGTACCGCAGGAGTGTAGAACGGGGCCCTCGCACACATCACCCAGACAGCTGAGCGGTGGGCCAGTACCCACAGATCGACACATGAGTGAGTGCAAACAAATGAAGACGATTGCTCGGTCATCAGGGCGGGAGCAGCCCGCGCAAGGCCGCATCGCCCGCTCTGTTGACGTGGTGTGCCTCGTTGGTGGCCTTGCTGTGTCCTCTCGCGTAAGACCTTTTCCTCGACGCTCGCGTGATCTGGATGCTGCTCTTCCCTGATGCCCCGCGTAGGCGCCTGGCTTCGGTCGGTGACCGACGTGCGTCTGCTCTCGCTTCCTGCACATGCCCAGGACGGCTGGGGCGGCATGGACATCGACCTGCCCACCGACGCTCCAGTGGAGGCCCCCAGCACAGAGGCTGCGCCAGCAGCTGCGGAGCCTGCCGAGGCGGGTGCGGCTGCCAATGTGAAGGTGAAGGACTTGGAGGGCTGGGAGGATGGCGATGGCCAGCATGTACAGCGCAATGACGATTTGCGATCGCGGCGGCGGCACCAGCGGGCGTTTGGAGATGGAACGCCGCTCTGAGGGACGTGCTTTGTGTCGCGCGTTACGTCTTTGGGAAGTTGTGGTGAACGCCAATTCTTTGCGGTGGCGGCGACGCCGATGCCGTTGGCGGATGTCTGTGTTTTTGTGGCAGCGGAGTATGAGGCTGCCCCGCCAGGAAATCGCAGTGTCGTGGTGTCCTGTGCAATCAGGTGCGTCTTGCACGTGCGCGTGGGCGCGAAGCAGTGCGAGTGTTCATTGGCGTTTTTTTTGTTACCAAGTTTCGTACTCTGTGAGGAATTCTTCTTGCCAGTCCAGCGTTCTCTCAAGGCTGGAGGTCCGAGGCAGGAATTTATACATGACCACCGCATGGAGGGTCAGTTTTCGGAGCCTCGGCAGGTGGTGGAGATGGACATATTCGGGCCCCCGGGGGCCGAAATACATCCATATCCACCACCCGCTGAGGCACCAGGACGTTGGTTCCCAGGCGGTAGATATGGATAAATCCCGCCTCACAGGAGGGGTGGGGTGTCCCGTGATGTCCCCTTTTCTGATCATATGTAGTTTTTTGGGTGGGGGTCGGCACATCTTCTGGTCTGCGATAGCCGCGCGCTGGATTGTCAAAACATCTGCCTCGCAGTTGCGCAGAAGAGCAGGGGGCGTTCGGGCTGCATTAAAGAAGACAGCCGCAAGTGCATATTCTTTCTGAAACACGCAGCCCGCCGAAGGCGCCGAAGACCAACTCGGGCTGTTCTGTGCGACGAAATCGGCGCCTGCAGGGGCTGTTGTACATGCGCTCTGGGCAACACCATTGTGCGCCCCAGCCTGGGCACACCCTCATTCTCCGCATCAACTCTGGCAGAATGCGTGTGGGGTCCAATATATGGCGTATATGGGGTGCAACTTCTGAGGCACAATCTATGTGGTGGAAGCTATGGTGCGCAAGTCATGGGATACAATGAATGTGGTGGAGGCTGCGGGCTGCTTGCTAGCTTGGGCAAGATATCCGGTGTCATCGATCTGGTGCAAGCCATGTGATGGACCCGCCGTCAGAGTGAAGACGCAGAGGAGAAGAGGCAGATAGCCGAAGCAGGAGCGCAGACACTTGAAACAGGGGTGTGCAATGAGAGCCTCCATCCCCAAGTTGGGACCGTGAAGGACAACGAATCCTACGGAATTACAGCTTGGGTTGATCGAATGCTCGGAGAGCGCATACATTGAAATGTGTGAAAAGGGAGAGGGCGGTGAAGTGGTGAAGAGAGGGGAAGGGCGCGGGGACGTTGGGTCGATGTCATGCAAGAGGACACGTGTGATGTCGACCCAGCGCTGGCTACGTCCCTGACTGGCCTATGGTGTTGCCGCTCGAACGCTGGCCAGATCCCTGATCGGGAAGGGTGTGCTCGCCGCAGCCACCGCCGCGTGCCCGGTCGGGCACGTCGCGCTGCCGCTCGAGCGTCAGCCGTATCCCCAACTGGGATTGGCAACGGTGCCGCCACCTTTGCAGGGCTCGTTTTGATCCCTCTCATTCGGTTCGATTCGATTTCGACGGCTTCCGATTCGGATTCGATTCGATGTCGGATTCCGATGCGGGCTCCGATTTCTCGATGGAGGCTTATTAGTAGCCTGCCGATTTCTGCCGATGCGACTCCTCCCGACTTGGCTGCCCATTACCGCCGATCCGATTACTTTCGATCGCCGAATCGATTTATCGATTCGATCCTTGGCTCTCCAGCCTGAGCGCCAACCACAATCATATGCTGAGCGTTTACTGTCTCCATCTTGAAGGCGTTCTCCGCGTTGCCCCGTGGGATGTCCAGGATGTGTTGTGGACCTTACCCATCTTCATTCTACTTCCCAAACCACTCCATCCCAAGCTGAAAGTCCCAGACCCCCCCCCCAACAAAAAACATCGGGCGGGGGGGAGTACGGGTTGCACTGTGTGTTTCCTCTGTGCTTCAGAGCGTCTCCCTACTGGAAATTTGGCAGGCCCAGCGGCGACTTCGGGTTGTGCTGGGGTGGTTTGGTGGGTGGCCATTTTTTCCTGTGCCTGCGCGGCGGCACCACGGCAGCTCGGCGTGGCGCTCTCCCCAGCCGCTATTGCCACTCGATCGTGGGGCAGCACTGGCCTGCTGATCCAGGCATGTCAGGTGGGACATTTGACACGGACGTAGCAAAACGTTGACCTCCAAGAACAGATTGGGATCTATTTGATATGGAAGGGAAGAGGGACACCTGAAACATATACCAATCAAACAGGCATCCGTGAGTTTGTGAACATTCATTTGTGTGCCCCTGGATCTCTTCAACGTGGTGCAGACCCTTTACATAGTGAGAGGGCTCTGAGGAAAAGCGGCCCTGAGGTCTGTCTGTGCTTCTGGCCCTCTGTCCCAGGGCCGTCCAACAACGACGCCTGAAGAGCCGGTCGTGGGCAACGCCCCCGGGTCCAGGACCCATTTCTCTCAGGACGTTCCCTATAGCAGGATTTTTGCCACTTCCCAGTGCGCCGCTTGGGCACTAGGGTCACTGTGACGGCGTGCGTGCGTCCAGGTTGGCCTGGTCTTCGTCCCCCTCCCCGCTATTTCCACGCTGAGGACGCCGGCGACGGCTGGGGAGATGGTATGGACATCGATTTGGGTCTTGATGCTCCAGCGGAGGCGGAGCCGGCCGCGGAAGAGGCGGCTGCTGAGGACACCATTTTTTTTTTGGGGGGGGGGGGGGGCGATGTCGATGGTCAGCACAGGGCGATTGCGATCGGCCGTCATGGAGAATTCGCCACTGGATGCTTGGATGTCAGGGGCGGTGAGAGCGCTGTGATCAGATTCCCAACCGTCGCGCGCCGTTCCCGTTCTGCTACCGTATGTTGCTGGAAGCGTTTGGACCACATGCTGTTCAGTCGACGGTCGGAAATCATGGGTGAAATGCTTCCAAACGTTGTTGCAATTGGCTTGTTGCTTTGCACACACGCGGCACACCGCGTTTTTCCCGATGGCATACATTTGCGTGACCCTCTCTGTGATTGTATATATGTGCGCATTCCGACTGCTCTGCGACGCGACTCTATGTTTGTTCGCCCACCTGTCAACACGTCTGGCAGTCCTGTTTTGTGTGAGCTTTCTTGTCCGTAACTGTTCATCATCATGTGCGTCATTAGTAGCACTCGAGTTTGTAGCGTTACACTGAACATGCAGTTCATACTTCTGGACGGCATGTTTGACCTCGGGAGCCTACTGATAGCTCCAAGACCTTTTCGATCCGAAGCGAAGTTTTTGTGAAGCGCGCCAAGTACACTACTGGACAGCGGCCCTGGGACGTCCGAGACTGCCCGCATGTTTCCACCGCACTTTCTGCCATCGTCGGAGTACTCGGACCTCCGCATGGCCTCTGAGAACACCGGCCGATGTGTGGCGGGTGTCGAGACAGTTCCCAGCAGCTATGTCAGACCGATCGATTCGGACTGCTAGATGGGGGCCCCGTCTGGCCTCTGGAGAAGCCCAAAGCTCACGTGGCAGGGAAGGAAGGATCCTGCCGAGCGGCTGCCAGAGTTGGTGGGCTTGTTTCCCACCGCCACCACCATAAAGTAGGAGGGGGAGGGGTCCCCCCTCCTCCTCCTCCTCCTCCTCCTCCTCCTCCTCCTCCTCCTCCTCGTCCTTCGCCTCATCCTCCACCCCCTTCCCCCCTCCAACTTATGGTGGTGGTGGTGGGAAACATGCCCACCAAGAACGTCTGGGGTTTCCCCCTGGCCGCAGACCTCCGAGCGCTCGCACGGCCTCGTCGAAGGGAAGGCGGCGAGTGGTCGCGGGTGTGGCTGTCGAGATGCAGTCTTTGGCTCTCCACCGCCGGGGCAGGGAGAAAGAGACTAGGCTTCAGTCGGGCATGTCACTCCACAGGAGGAATGCTCCAAACATGATAGTAACGCAAATTGTCTGGGGGCGATTCGTGTTATTTTTTACTGTTTCACAGGATGTTCTTACTACTTTGCATTTTTCGTGCAAAATCCGCCTGTAGGAGGACATGCCCGACCTAAGACTGGGCACGAGGCGAGGCTGCGAAAACGAGGCGCAGGCTCTCGGCATATCTGCGGCAGGGGGAAGAGAAGCACCGACGGCGGCCTCCTCGCCGCCGCGCCCCTCCAGTCGCGCCCGCGCCCTCCTCGTCAATGGCGCCCTCCGAGCTGCGTCGGGCACCGCGGTGGCGAGCCCGAGTTGGCGCAGAGAGCGGGGCCGCGCGGGGCCCGCAGAAGGGGCGATGCATGGCGGGGCAAGAGCCTGCCCCTGGGGGTGCCGGTGCGCCCGCGTTCGCCATCCTCCTTCCTGCGCGCTCTCCTGCCGCTGCTGTTGCTGCTGCTGCTGCTCCTGCTGCTCCTCGCTGGCAGGGGGCAGAGCCCGTCGGAGGCCTCGAGGGCCCAGGCCCCTGGGCCGCCGCGCCACCCGCAGACGCCCCTGTGTTGGGCAGCTCGCGCGCGGAGAAGTCGCGAACCCCGCAAACGCGTTCGCACACCTTTTGTCATTGCTGCGCTTCTTTCGGTACCTCGCCCGTTCCTCCTGTTTTCACTATGGTGTTCCTTCCTCCTGTCTCCCCCCTTTTGTACCTCTGTCGCAAGCAGTATGCTACTGTCGGTGTTCAACATTTGTAACGGCCCGAAGCCCCGCCCCGGGAAGCCAGGCAGCCTACGCAAGCTTGACTCCAGGCTGAGTCCTAGCAGATGCCTTGGACGCATGCCTTGGACGCAAAGGGCCGATTGATACTGACCTGATTGTATAGCAAGATGCTCTCTTTCAACGGGGACCGCCAGACTACCTTTCAAGAAGGCTGCGCGAACAAGCACTCAGGCGATTGCGATGGAAGGACCACATGCTGCTGCTGCTGCTGCTGCTGCTCCTCGTTGGCGGGGACCATATACACATCAGAGGCCTCGCGCGCCGGGCTCCTGGGCCGCGACCCCGCGGGCACGGGAGTTCTTCTTCGCGGCCGCCCCGCGCGGGACGGCTCCGCGCGACCACGGGATCGCGCCCCGGAGTCCAGACCGCGAGGCGGCTGCGGCTCGCTTTCGATATGTCAAGTTCGCCGCCGAGTATATATATATATATATATATATATATGCGTTGCGTCTCCTTGCGTTGCCTCTCATCCTCAGTGGGGGACATGCCGCGAGGGGTGGATGTATGGGGGGGCTCCAGCTCTCAGACCTCCCCCGTGCAGGCCCCCGAGGCTGCCGCGCCGCAGGAGGAGGCCGCCCAGGATTCTGCCCCTTCGCCGGCTGCCAGCGAGGATGTGGCTGCAGCTGGGGAGGCGCCGCAGGCTGCGGCCGAGCCAGCTTCGGAAGTGAAGAAGGACAGCCACGGCCAAGCGTTCCGTTCACGGCAGATTCGTGCCGCCTCGCCACGATGACGCTGGCGCGGGCGTTCAACGTTGAACGCTCCCTGAAGGATCGGTTCGGGCCCCGAGGCCAACAGGGAGCACGCCGACGAGAAGTGGGGGCGGCTGGGGACCTCGGACAGCGGAGATTGCTCACGACTCAACGGTTGCGGCGGTGGCAGAAACCAGGGCAGGCGAAGGCAAGGCAGGCGCCTGCCGCACTATATCCCCCAAGCAGTGCTTGAATTCTGTTCTAATCCGTATTCGAAGGAACTGCGCTCCGCTGCCAGCTCCGCCGCCTTGTGGTCGCCGTCGCCGCCCTGTCGCTGCCTCGTCGCCGCCCGTCGTCTGGGCTCCGCTGCGGGGTCCGCAGCCTTTGTGGTCGTGGTCGTCGTCGCCCCGTCGCCGCCTCTACATTGTGTTGCATTGCCTTGCATTGCGTTTCTTTGCCTTGCATTGCATTGCATTGCTTTGCATTGTTTTGCATGGCTGTGCATTGCTGTGCATTGCCTTGCATTGCTTCACTCAGCATTGCTTGCCTTGTGTTGACTTGTCCCGCCTTGCATTGCGTTGCTTTGCACCGCTGTGCACAGATTTGCGTTGATTTGCATTGCTTGGCACCGCATAGATTGCTCCGTATGGATTGCAACCTAGACTGCACCACATAGATTGCACCACCTGGATTGCATCGTATCTATTGGAAGAAGTCATTGTTTGGGGCCCACGATGGCTAACATGATATGAAGGGGGGTGATCTGCGCGATTCCCTCGTGATGTTCCTCATCAGCACCATACCCTTGCGTACCCTTTCCTCGCGTTCTCTCTCTCTCTCTCTCTCTCTCTCAGGCACTGGTGGTTCACCACTGTACCGACGGCTCGGATGCGGGGTGTCGCCGCCGATAGCGACAGAGAAGCGGAGACCCGTGCCAGCGTCGGACTGGACGTTTCGTCACCGGCAAGGCCCGCCGGCCCCCAAAAGTCTCAGGGACAGCGTCGGGGAGGGCTTGGTGGCCCACCCCGCCGAGAACCGTGCCGATTCGTTATCGGGGGCCTACAGTGGAGGCCCATGCCAAGCAGCACCGTGCTCGCCTCCAGGGTGCCCTGGGTTTCTTGGGTTTTGGTGGTTTTGCGATGCCGCGACGTTCCCACACCAAAAATCCATGGACGTCCTGGGATCTTAGGGTTGGGTTTCTTGTGGAAGGTTTCTTGTGGTCGGGCCGCCATTGTATCCCCGATCTATCGGCGATGCCTCGCCGATTCCAGGTCGACGCTTCCCCCTCAGCCATTCCCCCCCCATGACGTTCCCCTTCACCGATTTGGCAACTGGATGGGGAACACCGTCGGCGTGCACGGGCGAGCCAGATTTAGGCGCTGCTTTTGCCTTTTAACGAGGCCGTATCTATTCGAGCCCAACAGCATATTGAAAACAGAAGCGGTGAGCACTAAACTTCATGGCTTAAACTCGGGAGCCGTCCCTGCCGCCGTGATTGAAACTTGAAAGTGTGGGGCTCCAGCATATCGCCATGTCGTACATTCAACTCGAGCACTTGCGCCATGGTGGAAACTGGTCAACGCCAGGGCTAGGAGGAGGTGGGGCACGAGGAATAGGAAGAGGAGGGCCGTTGTGGGATTTTTGTGGGCTGTTTAGCTCTAGGCTCCAGGGCTCTAAGCTCTAGGACCTCGGCCATCCGAGGATCGCTCAGGGGCCGTCTTGGGATCTTGCTAGGGCCGTTTCTGGGGCTCTAGGGCTCTAGGATCTCGGCCATCTCGGGATCTCTCAGGGGCCGGCCGCCTAGGGATCTCAAGGTCTCTAGGGTCTAGAGTTAATTCGGGCCTGTCCTTCTACAGGAGGACAATTCAAAAATATGTGAAAACATCCCCAGACGAGTGTTCCACGATTGTTTAACATCATTTTTGCATATGTTTGACTATTTTGAATCTCTCCTCCAAAATCCGCCTGCAGGAGCCTGCCCGACCTAAGTCTAGAGTCGAGGGCCGTCTTCGCCTCCTGGCCAGAGAGCACTTCGTCACTCCTCACCTCCCGTCCAAGTCTTAGGACAGCAGACAACACAACACTCTTGGGGGAAGGAGAAGCCTCAGGACAGGGAAAGCGCTGTGCACATGCGTGTCGCCGTGTAGCCTGTAACCTATACATGCATAAACGCTGAGATACCTGAACAGCCTTTCGGCCGTGCTCAACCCAGACATGCGACGTCTTGATTTTTTTCAATACGGGGTCCCTAGAAGCCCCGATCATTTCCCAGGGACCGGTTTCTTATCCCGAGTCGTTGTTTTGACGGTCCCGAGGGCCAGCAAGGGCTCCCCAAGGCCGAAATGAGCCAAAATCTGTTTGTTCCTGATTTGTTTGACGAAGCGATCATGTCTGCGAAGGCGTGTTTTGTCCACCTTCATGTAAGCCGTCGCTGCCGTGCACTGTGTGCTACCTTTCCAGCCCTAAGTGTATGTATATGTGTGTATATATATGTATATATACATGAATCCGTGCAGTAGTTGGCCCTCCGCTGACCACGAAGATAGTCAAGCTTGCGTGCTTGCCCGGTCACCTAGCCAGCCACTGGTAGAGGTTGTTCCTGTGCACTACCTAGGCATGATCACGTGGTGAAAAATCAGGACGGGAGGTTTTTCGTCATTTTCGGCCTCGGGGGGCCTTCGCCAGGCCTCGGGAGCGTCAAAAAACGATTCGGGAGACCCCGTATTGAAAAATCAGGACGTCGCATGTCTGGGGTGATTGAGCGCGCATTAGCTGGCCATTATGAGGGCCCCGGGGCCCTCGGAACGTTCGGCTTGGACGATGGGCCGGCCATTGTTGGAGGACGCACCTCCTGAACATACGGACGGACCTCCTCTGGGGTGAGCTCGTGACGGGGCGTGCCCTCGGCCTCTATTTTGGGGCGGGGGCGAACCTTAGCCGGCCTCCAGCCGGCTTTATGTTTGGGCGGGGGCGGGCTTTATCCGGCATCTAGCCAGCTTTCACTAGCCCAAAACACACCCGGACCCGGGGTCAGCTGGGGTGAAAAGGGCCGCCCGCTAGAGCGTTTTCGGCCTTGCCGCCACCTCGTCTGGGTACGGGTCGGTGCCCGAAACAACCATACATACCCGGACCTAGCTGGGGTGGTGGTTGGGTCACCCCGTCTAGGTACGGGTATGTATGGTGGTTTCGGGAGCCGACCCGGACCCAGGGGGGGTGATGCCCCGAGGGCCCCTTGCCACCCCGTCTGGGTAAGGGTACGGGTATCTTTCGCGCTCGAGAAGCTTGTATTTTCGGGCGGGACGGTGCCTTGTGTTGCCCTTGTCCGGGCGTACAGCTCAAGACCATAAGCCTCAAGCCTGAAGCCTTGTCTTGAAGTCATACGAGTCCCCTAGAGTCCAGAGGCGGGCGTTGCTTTGGGCTTAGATCCGAGGGTAGCGGCGACTGCAGTCCATAATCCGAAGTCGGGCCGTCGTCTCGGTCATGCCCTCCCGAACCCTTGAGATGAGCCCTGAACACCTGTCTCCCCAGGGCCCTTGGGGGCCTGTGGTGTGTGTCCCGCCCTCGTCCGCTTTTGATATTTCCCCGCCTCCGTTGTGTAGCCACTTTGGCTTAGGCGCGAAACCTGTTGTATGCCTTGGAGCTCGCTCCCCAGAAAAGAACGCTCCCATCCCTGATATCTTTCGACCCTCCAGATCCATGTGCCCCTAGTCCTGTGACAGGGGTAAGCGGAGCTATGTCGGAGAAGCTCGCGGAGAAGATGGGCGTTCAGGGGACGGACGCTCCGGGGCAGCAGCAGGACAAGCAATCAGAAGGAGGAGGTCCGTGGCGAGAGGTGCCCACGCCAGAGAAACCAGGACGACAAGAAGGCACCTCCCTGGAGAATTCCGACGCTGCGGCGGCGTCTGATTCCAAGGATCCCTGGAAAGATTGGTGGAGCAGGTCGTGGGACTCCTGGTGGCGGTGGGTATCGAGCGGGGCATCAAGCTGGGGGCGAGAAGTCGGCTGGACGAGCTCATCAGCAGCATGGACCATTCCACACAGTGCCCAACCGAGACTTTGGCGCCCCACCGTCGTGGCTGAATTTCGAGAACTTAGCGACGCATCGACACAACATCCAGGCCTGGACGAGACGAACCAGCTTCAAGCCAGAAACCCAGGCAGGGTGCGTCTTGGAGGGACTTCCAGTCGAGCTGCAGCTTCAGTGCAGGACCATCAGGCGCGAGCTGGACACGACGGATGGCATCGACAAGCTGCTCGAGCACCTCGCCCTGCTGAGCGGAAAGCGGCCCGGCGATCGAGAACGCTTGGCGCACAGCGCGGCCCTTTTCAACTACGTGCTAAAGAAAGGTGAGTCCTTCACTGAGTTCGTTCTGTGGCGCGACGCTGAGATCGCCGAAGCAGAAAGATATGATTTCACGCTCCAGGATGCCATTGTGGCGAGGTACCTCGAGGAGGGCGCGTACTTGTCGGCTCAGAACAAAATGAACATGCGCACCTTGGCCGGTGGCAAGGACGACTTCAGCTCGATGCGATCGGCCATGCTAAAGCTAGGTGTGAAAGACCAGCCGATCCATCCCACGAGCCGCGCGACCATCGCCAAGACCCGTGCGGCCGAGGTTTCTGAGAACACGCCTCCTCCTTCGGAGCCCTTCGACGACGGGGTGCGGGACGTATACCTGACGGAGATAGACGTCTCGGTGGAGCTCCCTGAAGACGAGGTCGACATTTTCCTGGCCACGCTGGGCGAGCAGGAGGGGCGGAGGCGCTGCAGATCTTCGCGGCGGTGGTCGAGGACCGACTCGGGAAGGAGGAGCGGCGGACGCGGGCCGAGGCCCGTCGCCTCAAGGCGGCGAAGAAGATGGACGGGGACTTCTTCGATCGCAAGCGGGCGGCTCGGCTGGGGTCGAAGAGGCCCATGATGACCGACGCGAAGAAGCGCGCGAGGTGCGCGAATTGTGGGGGGCGCGGGCGCTGGGCTGAGTCG